CACACACCAACAGGTACTTTTAGTGAGCAGTGAACTTGAGTAATTACTATGCAATAGAATAGATTTGGAAGTCCGCTAGAAAGGCTTTATACTGGGCAGTCTGGTTTTATTCATCAAAATACATAGTTGATTTGTTTTTGTGAACACATAACTGTGGCAGTGGCTGGATTTAGAGGGGGAGGGGGGAGGAGCTTAAATTTATGCGTTCCTGCAGTTCACCTACAGAACATGTCTGCTACTGTCCCTTACTATGCCCACTGCCCTCCCCTACTTAATTTACCCTTTTGTGTAATGCCACATGCCATTCCAATTATTTCTGAAGGTGAAATTCTATTGGATTGCCTCTGGTTGAAGTGAAATTAAATACCCTAATATTCTATTTAATTTCAAAATACATTTAAACTTCTATCCTACGACAAGTATAACTTGTCGCTCTTTCATTCATTTTAATCAGATCTCTCCGAGGCATTTGAAGTATCACGAGTCGCTGAAGTATCTTTAATCGAAAGTTCAATAATGTATCGTATCATAGAGTTTGATTTCAATGCTCCCATCATTTTATTGGATATCATTAAACATAATGTGACTCCAGACAAAGCTAATAAATTTAAGAAAATAGTATACCTTGTTCTGATTTCGATGGGCCTATCCTACCTGAGTTTGCGATATTGGCTATAATATTGTTCGCTCCATTGCAAGTCCATGGCTATTGTAAAAATAAGTTGTGTGTTTAATAATCGTGTTGACAAGTCCTATTAAAAGATTAGGTGACTTCCAATCATTCTACAAGTGAACACCATTCCATTTTGTTGAAACAAAAAAATTGAAAATTAGGAGTTTTTTAAAAGTTACAAAATTAAAAGTGTCATACAAGATTTCGATTCCTTTTTCAAAATTTAAAAGGAAATGTCTTATGCTCAAAGCCGATCAGAGTTGAAATGGCAAAGTTATTAGCCTCCAAAAGGGTAAATGTATGCAAAAACGACCAAATTGTCAATTTGGGGGGCAATAACTCTGCCATTTCGATTCCGATCGTCTTGGAGCATAAAACATTTTCGATTTCTTTTGTCAAGATGAACTCGAAACAATAGTTACCTTTTCACATTTCTCCCGAACCACTACCCCGCTTCCCCCATCCAACTTACGTAAGTAAACACGTAAACCATTCAAAATATCAATTTCTTTTCTTCTCACTAGACACTCGCGAAACTTCGTGACTTGAGTTCCGCAACTCTAAAACTAAAAGTTACACACTCGGTTTGACAATCTGACAAATTAATCACTTGCGAGAGAGTATCAAAGACGCGAAGTGACCGCCGGAGCCGTTGGTGCTCTTCACCAACTCGAGTGCAGTGCTGCCAACATACCAACGAACTACGCGCGTATTCAAATAAAACGATTGAATATTTCAGAGCTGACAAATGCATCAAATAATGCACACAGATAATCCTCGCAAATTATCGATTCTTAGACAAACCCGCTTCTCCCTGTCAGTGCAGAACATTTTGAGGAGATACGGAATGTTACAGACAGACAGACTCACGACGGAGACATCGCCTGACCCCTCATCGACTTGGACTGAGCTTCGCTCAGCGAAAACTCTGTACCACATGTTTCTCGGCTGTTTTCCGGCGAGTTACCGCACCGTTTTTCTACAGGGTTATTGAAAACTCTGTAGAAGCAGCCGTATCCCGGTTTCTTCTTCACCATTAAGAGTTTTCACGCCGTTTACGCCGAGGAAACTGGCTGGAAACGGTCTTAAAACTCTGAAGAAACATGAAACTAGAGTTACCGTTTTCGCCAGGGTTGTAGACGAGCAATAGTCTGCTAAAATATTGTACAGACTTAAGAGCCGATAGTGGGAGCCAGCCCAAATCGTCCTAACATCCGTTCTCAACAGCATAGTGCTGTGTGCCTGGAAAAGATTAAGAGATTGAAGGGCGGGCCACTTCGACAACACACTGTGAATATCTCCTTTTCTGAAAATTTATCTGGTGGCGCTAGAGCCAATACGACTTTTCCAGCAAATCCAGAACTTCAGTCTCAGAAGAAGTATCCTGCATTTGTGTCCTCAGTCTCTTCAGGGTAGCTTCACTCTCATAAGCAGGTAAACGAGGTTGCCAAGCAGCACATCCATAAGAATCAAGTTTATCATTACAAATGTGAGGCCACTTCGGATCATCTTCATCTTTCATTCCTTTTTCTCTTGTTTTTTCCCCCTTGAGGCTTAATAAAGTTCACTCGCTCATAAGAGGCTGTTAAGGCATCACCCTTCGCTGACATCGAGAGTGTCCGATTTTAAAACAGGAAGACAGGGGACTAAGGGCAGTTTTTCGGTCAAGTGTGACGATTTTAAACGTTGTTCCTAAATCTTGTTCTTTGGAAAAGCAAGATGCTATTTTTTCAGTTCAAGGAATTCAACTCAATTTACCCTGCTAGTGTTCGATCTTAGAACAGCAAGGCATGGAATTTCTGGCCTGTTTTCGGTCGAATTTAATGATTTTAAACTGTTTTCGATCTCATACGTTCGTTATAATGGAACCGTTTGATAGCTGTGGGTCTGTTGTTGGCATAGCGCATCTTTCTTATGCCTTTTTGGGGATTTTTTTATGTTGGACTTGTGTGTACTCGGTTCCGCAAAGCTGACACTTCTGTAGCTACATTTTAGTAGCTACAAGTAGGGTCGTCCTAGCTATATGTGCGCCAGGCGCGTTTCAGCGTGACAGTATTTCGTCAGATATCGTGAAGCCTGTTACGCGTAACGTTAGCTAGCATAACGTTATTTGAAGTAATACACGCATCTTTTAGAGCAGGGGCTATTTCTGTGTTTCTGGTGAACAAGTCAGCCAGTAGATGCATTCCGACATTGATTGTATTGATGTGCTTACCAGAGGAGTTTGTGTTGACATTCTTTTCTTTGTGGGTTCGGGGTCCACCATGTCCATGTGAGGAAAACCAT